TGTCTACTGACTTCATTCAACTTACCATAAACATTTTCCTACAGTGTTTACAATAATCATTTTAGTAAGGGCATACTACACCACTGTATTAGTGTACCACCGTTTACTAACTGTTCCCTCATTTCTATGTCCATTTCTCTTCCAATTTTTTTCTATTAAAAATAAGTCTATAGTAATAGCTTAATAGGTATATAGTTTTCAGTCTTTAATATTTCTTTAGGTTCATCTTCCAAGACAGGTATTAATCTGAAGCTATGAACATTATTATGGATCTAACTGTAAATTTCAAAAGGCTTTATGTGAATCTTTTAAAAGCCACGGATGAGAGACGGCACAAAAATATATCAAAGTTGATGAAACATATGTACGGAGAGAAAATATGGATTAAAGTCAGAGTACCTGGCCTAATACGTAGGGTCTGTAAATTAACTACCTTCCTTCCTTATCTTCCCTCTCCCTTCCCCCACCTTTCACTCTCCCTTTCTTGCTTTTGTTTTCTGCTGTTATTGTTGACAGACCGCAAAAGCATCCTAGTCTATGTGAAATTAGCTTTTCAAAAGGCAAAATTGCTGTTTGAGAAGATAACATTCAAAATGATTCCTGTGAATCAGATAGCCTATTGTGAGACAGACTGAATTATGCATTGAGTTGCCACAGATTGAATATTACTACTTCAAGAACTTTTTTTCCCCTCCAGCACTTATAGGAGCCAATAAGTGGAAGAAATTTAAGGTTTCCTCTTTCTTGCTGATTTTACCCCTTCCTGTCAGCCTTTCTTACGTCATTCTCTTTCCCAGTCACCTTCCTAAAGATATATACTTAAAACACAAATAATAAATTCTAATTGTTTTGTTGATGTTTAATTGTAAAGAGCTTCACCAGTCTGGCAAACTCATTTTGCATTTCAGAAGAACACATTAACTTTCAGCAGAAAATTCCTGTCAAAGACTTTGTTTTGCTACTGCTTTAATTTTCCTTAAGCCTAATTTTCTTTTTCTGTTTGTTATGTAATGAAGCTTCTGAAAACACGGGCGATCTCTGCTCATTTTGCCTTGAGCTAGCATGACGTTTGCTTCCCCCCCTCCCCGCTCCCCCAAGGAAATGCAATTGCTGAGAAAAATTAACAGAAAATTCAGCAGCAATTTTACTCCAGCAAATGTAAAGATAAAAGGAATACATGAAGAGTAAAAAGCTTAGAAAATAATGGATGAATGGTTATAATGTTTATTGGAATGTCCAGAATGAAAAAATACAAACTTAGATTTAAAAGGACCTACAGGCCAACTTAAATATATTTTCTTTAAATAACAAAATTCTCTGGAGTATGTCCCTAGGTGTTTACAGAGACTTCAACTGCATTTTTTTTTTTTAAAGATTTTATCCATTTATTTGAGAGAGAAAGAGAGCGAGCGGAGGGGGGCGGGCAAGAGAGAGAGGAAGAAGCGGACTCCTGACTGAGCAGGGAGCCTGACGCAGGCCTAGATCCCAGGAGGCTGGGATCACAACCTGAGCCAAAGACAGGGGCTTAACCAACGGAGCCAACCAGTCGCCCCTTCAAATGCATTGTAACCGATCCGTTGAAAACTAAAACTTCTGAGATTATGAGAATGAGTAAAAGGTTAAAGCCAAGGATAATTTTTTTTTAAACTTTGATCAGTATACTTACTCTGCTAAATTAAATAATAATGGGGACAATTTGGGAATTTTGTAGGAAAAAAATGGATAGGTACATGCAAATAGTGAAAAGATCAGGCCTTCTATGTATAATTTTCTACACAATATAAAGCATCATAAATGTTGATTGCAGGCTCAGCACAAAAGTCATAAAAACCTATAGACCATTCACCAGTTCATCTTTTCCACTTCCCTCCACTCTAACCCAGATCCACCCCCCCCTTTATTCCCCATAAAATTTCTCAAATTGCTCCCTGCTCCTTTCTATGTTTTGGTTCCCACTATAACATCTATTATGTGAAATGTAATTTTGTCCCTTTTTTGGCCAGAGTACGAACAGAGATACAGATTAGTAGGAAATATGTCTTATGAGATTAATTGTAAAAAATTTCTTCATATGCTTGTGGGGGCTGGCAAAAAAAGTCCCCAGAAACATAAGGCATGCTCTAGGAAGGGCAGGATGGAACTCTCTGGCATAAGCTAAACCTGCTGTCTACAGTGGAATTTCTCTTCAAGAAAAACTCTGTTCTACTTTTAAGGTCTTTGAATAGACTGAACCGGGCTCACCCAGATTAATTAGAATAATCTCACTTAAAGTCAATTGACTGTGGAATTTCATCACCACAACACCCAGATTAATGTTTGAATGAGTAACTGAAGGCAACAGCCTACCAAGTTAAAACACAAAATGAACAGCCATAGTCTGTGCCTTGTAAACTTGGCAGACATACACATCTTAAACCAAATTTAATTCTCAAATAAAAACAATAACAAAAACAAAGTCATACTTCCATAAAACATGATACAGCTACCTTGCATATCTTAAAACAGGCTATCCTTTCCCTAGAAGAGAATGAAAAGTCTTGAGGTGATGCTCATATTTCTTTGATATGTTTTAAGTTAAATACTATGATATAATATTAACTATTATAAAGACCTCTTACACTAGATGACAAGGGGATAAGAGATAGGACATCTAATATGTGTACATATTTAAGTATGTATACAAAAATAAGAAAAATACACATAACTATTACAATCCTCCTTCCTGCAACTGATCACATAAGTTGTAGCAGGAATTTATAACTACTTTCTTCCCTACAAATTCCAATTTCATTCTTCAAGGGTCTGGGCCATTAGCCGTCCTGTCCGAATTGTACTTTTACAATCATAGGACATGACAGTACCAGGAGATACCCTAGGGAATGTTCTGTATTACAGACATACTCTTCCTCACTTCTATTGTGTAGTAACAACCCAATTCCCCTTGGCAATCTGGATCAATCAGCCCAAGACAATAATATTAGAACTCTCATCTTTGCATATTAATTCAGAGGCAGTCTCAGCTTCCAGTTCAGGGGTGGTACTGTTGCATCTCCTTGTGGACACATTCTTTCCTTCAGAACTAAGGACTCCAGAACAATAAAACCTAAGGTCATGGGGATAGGAGGTCACGTGTTTGTTAGTGTAATACAGAATGGGACCACTCCCATTTCCAAATGAATGCAAGCTGTGGAAGAAACTGCACCATATAACAGATGCTAATTTAGAGCACATGCAACCCCCTGGATGGCACTGTAGAGGTCCCATAAGGTATTGTCGTCTGTCTGGCACCATAACAGAAGGCTATTTTACTATTCATTTTAGGATGACGCAAAAATGGTAAGATCAATGATTTTCATGGGCATGGGCCCACTGCCACATTTTATCTGCTATCCAATGAATTCCTTGAATAGAAGCAATGCTGTGTGTAATACCATGGAGGTGAATGAGGCATTGTATAAGTCCACGGGTGGTAGCTTTGGCAGAAGTATTGAGCGCAAGAAAGGTAAATCCATATCCCGAGTAACTGTCTATTCCAGTAGGAATAAAGTATTGCTATTTCTAGGATAGAAGCTGTCCAATGTAATCAGTCTACCACCAGGTAGCTGGCTGTCAATTTGGGGATCCAGTTTTATTCTAGGGTGCCTAGTTTTATTCTCTGTTTCTGGAACAGACAATCAGCAGTAGCTGTAGTCAGACCCGACTTGATGAGTCTAAGTCTGTGTTGCTAACACTATGTAAAAATTCCATCCCTGCCACTATGGTCAATCTGCTCATGAACCCAGTGGGCAATGACAGGTGGCTAGGGAAAGAGGTTGACTTATAGTCAAAGAAATGGGTACTTTTACCCACTTGATTTTAAAAATCTTCTGAGGTCAGCATTTCATGAGCAGTCATAGGGGATGCAAGCATTTTCATATTCTTTTCCCCTTCCTAATAACCTGTGCACATGCCTCTTCCCCAAATCTTGTCACCGGTTTTCCCAGTCATGTTCCTTCTAAATCCTGACCATCTAGCCAAATGACTAACCACAGCCAATGAGTTGCTATAGTCTTGTGCCTCTGGTCATTTCTCCTTCCAGGCAAAAGGAAAAACCAGGTGTACTGCTTAGGATTCTGCCATCAGGATTTCCCTTCAAAATTATCTTCTCGGGGATGTCTAGGACATAGTCCTACAGCCGTCCACCTTAGGGGATAGTTGGTTATCATGCAGAACCATCCATAAGAGAACCATTTTTTCCTCTTCAGTGAACTATCCACAGAGAACTTTCCATGAGAATATGGGTGTGGACTGCAAAAGTAAAGGTAATGGAGCATGAGTGAGGACCAAAGGGCATTTGGGCCACTTTATGCAACTTACTTATGCCTTCAGGGCCTACTGAAACCTCATCTTGTATATACCACTTCCATTGTACTGCTTGCCATGCCCAAATTTGTGGTGAAGGCTCAGACAACACCTAATTCATGGTTGCTACCTCCATGCAAAATCTCCATACCTGCTACCATGATCACTTTGTTCAGAAGCTCATTGGGTACTGAGAAGAGTGGCTATGGAAAAAAGCTGACTGGTATCCAGAAATGGGTAATGTCATACATTTGATTAGTAAAATCTGTTGAAATCACCATTTCACAGGGCACCACAGGTTGCCTGGTAATCTGGTGAACTGTGAGTAAGCTTTTCTCCTAAGGCCCACAGTAAACCAGAAGTGCTTTCTCAAATTGAGCACAGTTATCTCTAGAGAATGACTCGGCTCTGTTCCAAAGACCTAAGGGTCATACTATGATTAACCTAGTGATGCCAGCACACTAGATTTACTGGATTATATGCTACAAATGTTAAAACAGTTTGCATGGCAGTCCGGACCGGTTTCAGAACCTTCTCTTGTTCTGGGCCCCACTCAAAATGAACAGTTTTGGTCACTTGGTAAATGGTTCAAAGTGGCATAAACAAATTAAGAATATGTTTCCATATCCCATTTTTTTTTTTTTTTTTTTTTTGTCAGCAATGCTTTGTCTGGTTCAGTGATCGCCCACAGAAGAGCAAACCCAGGGGCTGGATAGGAAATGTTCCGTCCCTTGAATCCATGCTGAGGCTCCCCTACATGGGGAGCAGAGCCGGTCAGCCCATCTGGGGCTGGCACTGTCCAACATGTGTGCTCAGTCCTCACAGGGCTTCCTGAAGGCCAAAGTTAGAGGCCAGAGACCACAGGCCCCACTGTTAAGAGCGCGCCCCGGGCAGCTGCAGGCCGGGTGTGGGAGGCTTGGCATGGTGCCCTCGGTGGCAGAGGAGACTGCCCGCCTCACAGTTCAGGTTGCGGTAGCGGGCAACAGCTGGTGTGGGGCGGGGGCACATGGACAGGAAGCCAAAGCTGAAAGGGCCAAGACAGCAGCCAGGGCAGGGCAGCCCCTCATCAGACTCCCGGGGAGCTGAAGGGGGCGGTGAGGGTTCTGTCCGCTCCAGGGCTGCTGCCCGGGGCAGGCTATGCTGGGCCCGGTTCCACGGCTCCCCAGCCCAGCCCTGTGGGGAGTTCACCACCACAGCCGGGGGGTTGTTGTTAAGGACAGGTCCTGATCTAGGGGACCAGGGCTGGGAGGCTGAGGAACAAGTGCTGATGAAGTTGTCTGTGGCCACGGCCAGGGGCAGCTGGGGAGCTGGTCCTGGGGGTTCTGGCTCAGGGCTACTGCCCTCACACTCCATTCTTTCTTCAGCTGAGGGGCCCACGCTGGGAGGGCCAGGGAGGGCAAAACCATTAGGTTTTGCACTTATTTATTTTAAGAAAGGCCAGATGCAGCTACTTATCATTCACCTTGGGAGGGATATTTTAACATGCCCCACACCAATGGACCCCTAGAAATATACCTAAGATGACAGGGTCCTGATTTTTGTTGGATTTCTCAGTGTCTGACACTATACTTGATATATTATTTATCAAATAATATATCAAGTATAATCTGCTCACCAGGTCCAATCAGAATATCCATAGAATGAACCAGCATAATATCTTGTGGAAGGGAAAGGCAATCAAGGTAACCCATGAGGTAAATTATGATTCAGGGCTGGAGAGCGGATATACCTGTGAAGTAAGACAGTGAAGAGTATTGCTTGTCTTGCCGGCTGAAAGCAGTACTTCTGGTGGGATAGCTGTATACCAGTTTTAGGGGATATGCCGATTTGCTCAAGCAATAAAATGTTACACATATGAAACAGCAGTTGCAACTGGAGTCTACCACCTGCTTAAGCTTATGATTACCTACTGTCATTCTCCGAGATCTGTTTTTTGCACTAGTCAAAATAAAGTTGAATGGAGATGGTAGGAATTACCACATCACATCCTTCACTCCTTGATGAGGGCAATCCCTGCAGTCCCCAGGAATGGAGCATGGCTTTAGCTTTACTTTTTTTCTTAGGTAAAGGCAGTTCTAGTAGATTCCACTTGGTCTCTCCCACCATAATAGGTATCACTCCATTGTTTGGAGAACCAAGATGGAAGTTCTGCCAGTTGCTGAGTATGTCTATTGCAATGATATATTCTGGAACTGAGGAAATAACAACAGTGTGTGTTCCGTAAGCAACTGGACTATGAGATGGATCAGAGCTAACATTCTGAGCACCTGACCTCAATAAGCCCCCATTCTGAATGGCAGACACAGTGACGTTGTGTCTCCAGGAATTAATTTCAGTTCAAAGACAATGTCCATCAATCCTCAAAAGTATCATTTCTTTCTCCAGAGCTGTCATTCTGGTAAGTGGCCATAGGTCCTTTGCCTGGGAGAAAGCCTAACAGTACACATCTTTGGAAGTATCACAGGGTCCTTCCTCAAGTAGAGTTCTACATCTCTAAAGTGGCTCAAGTCTGGGAGCTGATTGAGGGGCCATGACTCACTGTTTCACTGATTCAAGATGGACTTCTGTGCACCTGACCTACAACTCTTTGCTTATACAGTTCAAATAGGAATTTAGCAGCCTTTCCTTCTATTTCTTTTTTTTTTTTAAAGATTTTATTTATTTGAGAGAGAGAGAATAAGAGAGAGAGAGAGAGCACGAGAGAGAAGAGTGTCAGAGGGAGAAGCAGACTCCCTACTGAGCAGGGAGCCTGATGTGGGACTCAATCCCAGGACTCCAGGATCATGACCTGAGCTTAAGGTCACCATATTCCACTCACCACTGCCATACCACTGTCTGAGTCAGATACTCTTGCTGCTTTGACTCCACTGTCTATTAAGTTAAAACATCCACCTTATTTTTGCTGATTAAATGTCACTATCAGGCTTATGCAATTCTGACATCCCCGTTGTTTTTAGGGAATCTAGTTTGATGGGAGCAGTTCCCACTGTAATTTAGGCTTTATAGACAAAAACCACCACAGGCCTTTTCAGGGATTTTGAGACCCTACTCACAAATCTTTTACTCAGTTTTAGTGGCAAGTATGTCCTCTGGACCATCCAGGACACATGAGCAGTTCTTACCTGATAAATTCACTCCTATCTCCCTAAGCCTTTGGATATTTTCCTCTCAAGTATGATAAAGCAGTTCTGGCAAAGGTTACCTTAGAATTTCAGTCCTAGAACTAGCAAACTGTTGGAACCATTTCTAATACCTCAAGCTAAAGCACTGACTCCGGAATCTCTGCTTAGTGAGTCTATATCAGAAGATTCAACCCGATCCAACTTTATGTTCCTTCCACCATGATCTCATATCCTTAGGATCCATTAGCACACATATTTTCCAGATTTCTGTCATTATAAATTGGAAAAAGTGTACCATTCTTTTATCGTGTAATACAGAGCTTCATGGGCTATACTTTGTATCTCATTGTTTGGGGTCTGCTGGAAACTGAGTTTGGTTCTAGGTCTAGAAGCAATTAGGGGTCCTGGGTGTAGGTCTTGAGATCATCAATGGCTTGCAAATCTCAGGCCCACCCAATTTAGGCTAATATCCCTTAAAGTCAACCAATTTCAATTTTTTTTTTTTTAAGATTTTATTTATCTGACAGAGCGCACACACACATGCACGAGTCAGGGCAGAGGCAGAGGGAGAAGCAGGCTCCCCGCTGAGCAGGGAGCCTGATGTGGGGCTTGATCCCAGGACCCTGAGATCATGACCTGAGCCGAAGGCAGATGCTTAACCAACTGAGCCACCCAGGTGCCCCACCAATTGCAAACTTTAATCACACCTACAAAGTATATAGCAACACTTAGTGTTCGACTGAATAATTGGGAATTAGAGTCTAGCCAAGTTGACACAGTCCCCTTCCTCTCCATGTATTCCCCAGAGACAGGCTCCTCACCCACTCAGTTCTTCTTGGAAATGTAACCATGAGATACTACCCCCGCTTTTTTTTGAGAGAGCTAGAGAGAGGGATGGGAGGGAGTGGGAGTGCAGTGGGGGCAGAGGGAGAGAGAGAGAATCTTAACCAGCGTCCACACCCAGCACTTGAGCCTAATGTGGGGCTCGATCTCACAACCCTGAGATCATGACCCTGACCCAAAAATCAAGAGTCAGACGCCGAACCAACTGAGTCACCCAGGTGCCGTGACACTGCTTTTTAATTGCTGAAGATGCAATTAAACATGCAAAGTTTGGGTGCTGAAAATGTACACTGTTTTGGGAAGAGCAAATCATAAAATGACAAAATGCAGAAAGAGAGAGGAATATATAAATGCAAAGAGAGGTACAGATGAATGGATCAGAAAGTGCTGACGCTGCTGGAGTAGTTTCCAGTTGCTCCTAGGATCCCAGCATACTACTATCCTTGAATTGATAAACCCCAGTATCCCTGCAATACATTTTTTAAATATTTTTTGAGCTTATTTTAATTGGGTTTCTGTTGCTTGCAAAAAAAAAAAATATTCTATGAAGCTTTCAAACAAACTATTTGAGGGGAAAAAAACACTACTGAAAAATGCAACATAACGAATAAAAAGCAAAGCAAGGCATTTTGACAAAAAGAAAAAACAAGGGAAGGCAACAGGATTCAAAGCCCAGTTTCTGAATTCAGATATAACTGCTTCAAACCATGCCAGAAGTGTGACTTTGCATTAATTAAAAAAAAGGGGGGTACTTCCATGCATCAAATATCATCCTTGACATGGAGTATATTAGGAGTACACAATCCTTGCTCACGTGGAGTTTAAAGACTAATGAAAATTCCATATATACTACCACCAGAATCCTGTGTGCAGATTGAGGCTTGATATTAGGTATTTAACCAAAATCACAGGTAGTAAGTATTTATGCCATCTTCACAGACATGGTAAAGACATGAAGTAAGAGAGAGAGAGAGAGAGAGAGAGAGAGCGCTCGCACGCACAAGCAGTGGGAGTGGCAGGCAGAGGAGGAAGCAGGCTCCCCGCTGAGCAAGGAGCCCAATGCAGAGCTCCATCCCAGGACCCTGGGATCGAGACCTGAGCCGAAGGCAGATGCTGAACTGCCCACCCATTTTTTCTTAAAGATTCCCAATTTTTTTTTCAAGGTGACAATATGCCCATTAAAATAGGACATTTTTCAAGTTTCTCTTGCAGGTTGGTATGACCACATATTTAATTCTGGTCACTGAGATAGATGTAAAAGCACTGAGTAGTTCTGTTAGGAAAGTCCCTCAATCAGATGTGGGACAGGCATTCTGTAATGGGCCTTTTCTTTTGCTTTTCTCCCCTTCCTCTTCTCTCCTTTCTGGGAACTACTTTGAGATGGAGATGCAGCAGCCACCTTGTAAACCCGCAGGAAATGACTCACTATGGATGACAGAGCAGAAAGACCGAAGAAGCGAAGAAGCGTTGGTCTTAGTTGATTGCACAGAGCTACTAAGCTCATTGTCAGCTGCTTACCCTCTGGGGTTCTTTTATGTGAAAGAATAAATCTTGTTGTGTTTCATCTTTGTAGTGTGGCATCTATCATAGCAGTAAAATGTAATTTGTAACTGATACAGTGATTTTTAGGAAGTAACAATTTAAGGTCAATGTCAACAAAGATCTCAAAACTCAGAGGGATAAGGACAAAATTCAGTTATGAACAGCTATCAGCACATGCCTTCTCTTCTCAGAGCGTTCTTCTCTATGAGTCTAGTTCCAACTTGAAAAAGGAATTTGCATTAAAGAAGGGTACATGCACTAAGACAGTATCATATATATTTTTAGGAACATATATAAAGTACTTACTAAAAAACTGTTAGAAACAAAAGAACACAGGTCAATCAGAGATAAGGAAGTACTTGCATCTAAAGGTTAAAGTATTTAAACCCTAAGATCTGGAAATACCCTGCTGGTACTGGTATACTCCCTTGGCATTTATCTTGTCATTTAAAATGTTCACAGCATGCAATATATTGGGTTTATTCTTCTTGCTCTATGGGAGATGGAAGACAGTGAAAGGACTGGAGAGAGTGGAGGAAAAAAAAAAAAAAGAGGTAGCAGGGAACTAACTCTCTCTAATGGCATACAATGTGTCTTGGGACACAGGTATAGAAATAAATTTATATGTATATAAGTATATATATAATTTTTTAAAGGTTGTTTTTTTTTTTTTGAAAGAGAGAGAGGTGGGGAGGGGCAGAAGGGGAGAGAGAGAGAGAATCTCAAAGCAGACTCCCTGCTGAGCACAGAGCCTGACAGAGATCAGGACCAGAGCCGAAACCAAGAGTCGGATGCTTAACTGACTGCGCTACTCAGGCGCCCCAAATATAATTAAAATAAATGTGTCGATATATATGTCCATATACTATAATGTTATGATAGAGACAGAAATGGCTTCACTTTAAGCAGATACTGCACATTCTTTCCATGAAGAACTGTTTTCCAACATTGAAGTGTGAGAATTTAATTCTTGCTCATTCTCCATTTCCTGCTGCTTCATTTCCTTCTCCCTTCCCTTCCTCCAAGGCCCCTCCCCACATACATATACCTCCCGCTGGGTTAGCATAAACTCGAAAATTCTCTGGTTTCCTGGCATTCAATGTCCTTTTGCAAAAGTTGAAATCTTGAAAAAAGATGAATCCATAAAATTATATCAGCTAAAGTAACTTATACAGGTAAATTTTAAAATTCAGAAACTACTCCTGATTTTAGAAATCAAAATTAGGGGTGCCTGGCTGGCTCAGAAGGGCATGCAACTTTTGATCTCAGGGTTGGGAGTTCCAGCCCCATGTTGGGGCTTAAAAATAAATAAAATAAATACTTAAATAAAAATTAAAAAAAAAAGAAAATTAAAGAATGAAAGCCTAAATATATATATGTGACAGGACAATATCACATATACCTAAAATTTAACTGGAATTTTAAAACTGTAATTGCCTTTTAATATTCTCTGCCAAGTGCTTTGCATTTTTTGACTGGTTCCACTTTGGCACTCCTCGTGCGCCTCGGGAATGGCTTGCTCACTCTTTTCTTTATTGCCTCATCAGCCCACCTCCTTCAGGAACTTTCCCCCAAGGACACAACAGTAAGAGGTCTTTCCCTTTTCTAAGGGAAAATCATAGGGCTTAACACCACTAATGCCTTGGAGACAACTATTACCTATGGTTAATAAAGCAAGTCAGACTGAGTTCATTTCTCAGTCTTGACATCTTAGTCACATCATAAAGTTAAAATTCAGTTTCCTTTTTCCGTACAGTGGAGATAATAACGTTGTTATCATTTGTATGTCTGTAACAAGCATTAACAAGAGAAAGTATATGAACAACACAGCACAGGGCCTGGCTCAGAGCCGACATCCAATAAACACCAATTCTTCCTTCAATCATGTTAATAGTCCTGTAAATCTCTTAAACCAAATTAGATTGCAAACTTCTCTGAAGACAGGACACTTTCAATATACATCGCCTCTAAAACTTAGCATATTGCCTTACATACACAGAGCATTCAGTACATAACTGTGGAATGATACATCAACTTAATTTACAATATTTATTGAACATCTACAGTGTATCAGTCATTGTTCTGAGAAAAGAAAATAGTGGCATATAAAACAGGAAGTAAAGAAGTCCTTTAAGTTATGCAAAAAAAAGTTAAAACCAGAAATTCCTTATCTTTGCATTCAGATTTATCATGCCTGTTTCAGGGACACTTCTCTACAAAATTTCTGCTTGAAATCTTCTGCAGTACCACAAAATTTGTCTTGTCAGAATTGCCAACTGGCTCTGAACTAAACCATGCCTGTCTTTTGAGAACAAAGTCCTCAACCAAATCTTCAACACTGCTGTATATCAGGGTTCTTAAGGA